AGAACGAAACCCTGCGTAGTCCTGAGTTATCCTCACAATCATTGTTACAATGAGTGCACTGCTGTTGCCATTATGCAAATTCATTACATTAGGGGTCTTCCTCTTTTGTGCTGACTCTCCACTTTACCAAGCATGATGTCCTTCTCCAGGGACATTACCTGAAGTATGACAGATAAAGTCTCACTGTCCTGGTGTCTAAGGAGCATTCTCGCTGTACTTCTTCCAACAAAGACCAGGTATCTGTTATGAGGTATATCTGTTTCTTGTTTGTTTGTTGGCTTGATTTGCCCTGCCCCCCACAAAACCTTTTCAATAAATCTGATGATACTGTAAGATAACAGACTATCAGGGGAATCCATTCTAATCAGAAAGTTTCACTCTTGGATTGAAAGCCATCTGAAAAAGCAAAAACAGAAAGACAAACTCCTCACTACAACTGAAATGTCACCTACACCCTAGAGGACTCCCTTCAGTTTTAGACTGAGATGTACACGTGTAAATCCTAACACTGAAAAGATCTCCAAAATACACTCTTTCAGACCACTTCGAGTAGGAAACAACTTGTCATTGAACATAGACTCACGTCACAAGGTCTGTATATATATACAGGTATCACACATGAGGTAGAAGAAAGATTTACAGTCGTGGAAATCCTACATAAGGCTGCCATGTGTAGGAACCAACTTGATGGCTCATAACAACACTTATTATGTAGGAGCCCTGGTAGTACAATGGTTAAGTGCTTAGCTGGTAAACAAAAGGTCAGCGGTTCTAACCCACCAGCCGCTCTCTTTCATAAAGATAATAGCTTTTCGAACCCTCTGGGGATAGTTCTACTCTGTCCTGTCCAGTCATCCTGAGTCAGAATCCACTCCACGGCAATTGGTTCCAGTCAGGGATGGCTTCATTTATAAAAGCACTGCTTTGTACAAAGGCAGGCACTCACACAAAATGTACAGAGTAAAAACAGAAAAATCAATCCATCAAGAGTAAAAAGTCCGCCCCTTTTCATTTTTCCTACTTCCTAGCATTCTTTCATGTATTCACTTACTTAAACATTATCAACTATTTTCTAAGTGTGGTGGTGGTGGTTATGTGCCATAGAGTTGGTTCCAACTCATAGCAACCCTGTACAGGGTTTTCGAGGCTATAAATTTTTACAGGAGCAGAAAGCCTCATCTTTCTCCCACAGAACAGCTGGTAGTTTTGAACTGCTGACCTTGTGGGTAGCAGCCTGACTTGTAACCACTATACTACCAGAGCTCCTTATTTGCTAAGTGTAGACTACTACAAAAGCTCTCTCAGACTTTGTGGAGAATATAAGAACATGGTCCTGCCCTTAAGAAGTTTAGGGGAGCTAGATCACAGTATCACTAACATGGCAGCAGAGTGAGCCTTCAACTCTTCACACAGCACTCTATGGGATGAAGACACAAAAACTTGGGCAATTTGAGCTACGTTAAGTGTGTGCATTCCTGAGTCAAAGCTTCTAGTGTCCATATTTGATCAGATCTTTGCTCTCATGAAAGAAGTACCAAACCAAACCCATTGCCCATTGCGTCAATTCCAACTCATCATGACTTTATGGGACAGAGTAGAATTGCACCACAGGGCTTCCAAGGCCGTAGTCTTTATGGGAGCAGCTGTTACATCTTCATTCTGAGGAGCAGCTGGTAGGTTTGAATCTCTGGCCTGTTGGATAGCTACCAAGTGCTTTCCCACTGTACTACCATATCCTTTGGACTCTGAGATCTCTATGCTTTGAATCTCTTCGACCCAGGGATGGAAAGTTATGAAGCAGCAGTAAAACCAACAACCAAAGCATCAGACAGAGCAGTGGACTTCCTGGTCCATGGAGCAAGTAAAACGGAATGACTCAGGGCAGGAATTTTGCTTGTGGAGTGGAGTGCCTTTAGGTACTTAAATTGGGGAGCTAGGTTTGCTGATCCACAGAGCTAGAGCCAAGCACCTTCATGCTTAGGCTTATAGCAGAATGGTGTGGTCTGTGGGTAGTCTATCAGCAACTGACTGGAACAACTGTGCCCTGAGCATTTTCTGGTCCTGTCACTTTTTATTGGAACCTGTTACTTCCCTAATAAACCTCCTAACTGTGAGTATTGTCTTGGAGTTCTGTGCAGTCACTGCAACAAATTATTAAACCTGGTGGAGTAGAGAGGGTTGTTGGAAGAATGATTAATGCCACATATAATTTTGCAACGATCTACCAAAACCCATAGATAACAATTCTCTTTACAGAATCAAACTAACAAATGCATTGTTTTGTCCTCCTTTACTGTGCTATTCGCAATAAAGTAAGAGTTAGACCATTCACAGTTCAATCTGATTTGCTCTACAGCTCTGTTCTGTCTTAAACAAAAAGTAATTCATCTTGAGTAGAAGCAATTAAGGGCTTCAGACACTCTAAGTCATTTTTTAGAAGGACAGACAGACAAAGAGGTAGGATTGTAAGTGATTTGAGTCTACTGAAGAATCAGTACAGCCATACAAAAATTTCCTTGGCCTGTAGTTTATAAATCTAGATGCATATTGTTGTTGCTGTTGAACTGGGCTTCTGCCTCATAGTGACCCTATATAAAACAGAATGAAACACTGGCTGATCTTGCTTTAGCCTCTCAGTGGTTTCTGTGTTTGAGTCCACTGTTGTAACCACTCTGATAATAGGTCCAAAGTATGTCAGATGGAATCTCACCATGCTCACTTCTAACTGTATAAGACTCCACAAAGTACAATGTCCTTCTCCAGGATCTGGCCCACCTGATAGCAGTTTGAACAGATGTGAGATGAAGTCTCTCGGCATCCTCTCTTCTAAGGTACCTCCTAGCAGTCCATGACAAATTTGTTCATTCTTCTGGCAGCCCACGGCATATTCAATAGTCCTCACCAGTATTATATAATTCAAAGGCATCATTTTTTTTTGAGTCTTCCTTACTCATTATTCGGCATTCCTATGCATATGAGGCAGTGACAATTACCATGGCTTGGATCAGGCACAGGTTAGTCCTATAAAAGTCACAACTGTGTTTTGTTTTTCTTTTAAACAGTGAGTTCTTTTGCAGCACATCTGTCCAAGGCAATACATCATTTGATTTCTTGACTGCTGTTTCCATGGGTACTGATTGTGGATCCTAGTAAAATGAAATCCTTGATAACTTGTATTTTTTTTTTCTGTTTATTATTATGCTGCATATTGGTCCAGTTGTGATAATTACTGTTTACTTTATGTAAAGGCTATGGGTTTGATCTTCATCTGTAAGTGCTTCAAGTCCTTTTTGCCTTAAACAAGTAAGGTTGTGTTATCTGAATACTGCACGTTATTAATGTTGTTAAGTATGCACGAGTCAGTTCCAACTCTTAGCGATCTTACGCAGGGTTTCCAAGCAGTGGCTGGTGAGTTTGAACTACTCGCCTTGAGGTTCAAACTGACCTTGTGGGTGAGTGTTTCTCCTACAGTGCCACACCATTTATTAATGAGTCTCCCTCAAGTCTTGATGCTGCATTTTCTTTCATAGAGCTCAGTTTTTCAGATTATTTGCTCAGCATGTAGATTAAGTATGGTACAAGGACACAATTATTTTCTGATTTTAAACCACACAGTATCACCATGTTCTGTTAAATGACAGTCTCCTGTCACAATAGTGAGCATAATTTAAGAGTTCTGGAATTCCCATTCTTTGAAATGTTACCTATAGTTTGTTATGATCCACACAATTGAATGCCTCTGCATAAGTAATGGCACAAATAAACATCTTTCTGATATTTTGTGCTTTCATTCAAGATTCATCTAATATCAGCAATTATCAATCCTATTTCTATATCCTCTTCTGAATCCAGCTTGAATTTTTAGGAGTTCCTTGTGTATGTTTTTGAATTATCTTCAGCATATTTTTACTTACGTATGCTAGTAATGGGTATTTTGACAATTGGTGCATTCTCTTGTATCATCTTTCTTTGGAATAGGCATAAATATGGATCTCTTCCAGTAGGTAAGACAGCTACCTATACAGCTGCCTTCCAAATTTCTTTAGCTTTGATGAAATGTTTGTTGACATGTCTCAGTTGGTATTTCACCAATCCTGGAGCCTTGTTTTTCCCCAATGTCTTTCTTTGAAATAGGCATAAATATGGATCTCTTCCAGTAGGTAAGTTGGCTAGGTAGCTTTCTTCCAAATTTCTTTTGCTTTGATGAAATGTTTGTTCAAACATCTCAGTTGGTATTTCATCAGTCCTGGAGTCTTGTTTTCCCCCAATGTCTTCAGTGCAATTTGGACTTATTTCTTCAGTACCTTAAGTTCTTGATCATATGTTACCTCTTGAAATGGTTGAACATCAACCAATTCTTTTTGGTGCAATGACTCTGTATTCCTTCCATCTTCTTTCCATGCTTCATGCATTCTTCAATACTTTGCACATTTTTGCTGATGTTATGTGTCTTGAAGTCAGTTCTGACTCATAGCGACCCTGTATAGGGTTTTCAAGGTTGTAAATCTTTATGGTAGTTTTTGCTTCTCCTGTGGAGTGGCTGGTGAATTCCAATTGCTGAGCATGCGGTTAGCAGTCAACTGGTAACTCACGATGTCACTAACTGCTCTGATTTTGTACACAGAATCCTTCATTGTTCTAATTCAACACTTGCATTGCTTCAGGTCTTTCAGTTGGAGAAATGCCAAGCATGTTCTTCCCTTTTGGTTTTTTAATGCCAGGTATGTGCACATTTCCTTGTCATATTTTACTTTGTCTTCTTGAGAACCCCCTTTGAAAGCTTCTGTTTTAGAAACCTTAAAACTCAGGAAAGAGATACTTTGTGAAAAAGATACAACTGATTTGAAAAATGGAGATTTTGGGTGGTAGAAGGCTCTTACCTTCCTAAACGTATTTCACAGGAAACAAAAAAACACATTCACTTTTGAACAACAAAAGCAGAGATTATGGAATTTGATGAGACTGGTTAAACTAATAGCTAAAGAACTATAGATTAATACCTGTGAGGTAGGTGTTGTGTGAGGAGTTAATGAAATAGTGAGACAGAGGCTGAGACATGTCTTCATTCAAATCCAGTTTCTCAGGTGAAACAACTCCATTTTCTTCCCCACTTAGGTAGCGCATGAATCCATCCACTGATATCTGTCCTGCAGGAAATAAAGAGATAGCCATGTAAATTTATTTCTCAAGTTGCTGTTATTCATGTTGCTTTCATTTTTTTTTTTTTTTTCCTCTAGAAAACTGTCAATATCTACAGTAGGAGGGCAGCAGCCACAATTTGCTATAATATAGATTAACCTGAAGTCTAGGATTATGCCATTTCGCTACTGCTTGCTCCAAATGCTACAGAGAATAGTTAACTATGTAGGTATAGAAACCCCAGCTGAGGAGCCCTGGTAGCATAGTGTGTTACAATCACAAAGTCAGCAGTTCAAATCCACCCGTCACTCAGATGGAGCAAGATGAGACTTTCTGCTTCAAGAAAGATATGTAGCCTCAGAAACCCTATATAGAATCACTGTGAGTCGGAATTGACTCTACAGCATGCCGCAACAGCAGCAAGAGACCCCACTGATTTTCAGAGGATTTAAATAGCTAAAGACTAACCACCTTCTGTTTTCAAAGGTAAGAGTTGTTACCAGCTTTACAGATGGCCAGTGATAAGCCAGCAAAGTTGTTCTGAATTGATTCTCACTCATGGCAACCCCCTGAGCAGAACTGTGCCCCATAGGATTTTCAACGGCTCTATTTCAAAAGCAGGTCACCAGAATTTTCTTTCAAGGTGATTCTGGGTGGATTCAAACTTCAACCTTTAGTATCCGAGCTAGTAACTGACTGCTTAACCACTTGTGCCATCTATGTACGCCTTAAATCACAGACATTAAAATGTTACTTTGTTGTTAGGAGTCCCAAGTCAATTTCTGACTCATAGTGACTGTGTGGCAGAACAGAACTTTTCTATAGTTAGCCATCCTAGGGGAGTCCTGGTGTGGCTCTGTGGGTTAATGTGCCAGACTGCAAAGTTGTTTGAACTGCAAGGTCGGCGGTTCAAGCTCACCAGGTGCTCCTTGTAAACCCTATACAGGGTCACTATGGGTCGGAACCAATTCGACGGCACTTCACAACAACAACAGCAACCATCCTAGGTTGCTGATGTGATAGGATTAAGGATGATTTTTAATTGTTTTTATTTTTGTTCTTCATAGTTTCACAAATGTTCTATTGTGAACATGTTTCTTTTATAATCAGAGAAGTTATTCAAAAGTGGTTTTGTTATTTAAAATTAAGATGTGTTTTCAAACAATGATCATTTTCTCTGAAACAGAAAACAAAAATGACCAGAAATTAGTTTCTTCTAAGAATGGAAAGCGTAGTGGTTACGAATCGGGCTGCGAACCTTAAGGTCAGCGGTTCGAAACTACCAGCCGCTCCGCGGGAGAAAGATGAGGCTTTCTACTCCCGTAAAGATTTACACCCTCGGAAACCCTGTACAGGGTCGCTATGGGTCGGACCCGACTCGATGGCACTTAACAACAACAACAACAAGAATGGAAAATGGAATGTTCATATTAAAGGAGTTCTTTACTGGGGACAACTTAGTTGGCATAACATAGCTTACAAAGATAACTTTCTAAATGCCAGTTTGATGAGAAGCATCTAGGTTCTTAAAAGCTTGTGGGAGGCCATTCATATGGAGCAAAAGAGAATGAAGGAAATCAAAAGTTCAAAGAAGAAACCAGTGGACAGGACTGAAAGTCAACGACTGCAGATTCTTCAAACCTGAGGCCAGAAGAACTAGCTGGTATCCATCTACCACGTATGAGCAACAGCACAATAGAAGAGAATCAGGATAGAATGGAAGGAAACTAGAAAACAAAACTCAGATTCTTTAAAAGGGCCAGGCCTACTGGACCCATAGAGACTAGAGGAACCCCTGGGACTGCCACCTTTTAACTTGGATTTGAAGTTATTTCAGCAGGCCACCTTTCAGATAATAATAGATTGGCTTATAAAATAAACAATGTCACCCATGAGTAATGTGCCCCATTAAACAATCATCTACATGAGGGTCAAATAGTTAACATTTAATCCAAAGCAAAGATGACAAGGCAAGGAGAGGTAGGAAAGTTAGATCAATAAAAACAGAACCAACATAATGGAAATCATGAGAATGTTGATGCACTGTAAAAACTGTAACCAATGGCACAGAATAATTTGTATACAAACTGTTAAAAGGGAACTTAGTTTGCGGTGCAAACTTTCACTTAAAGCACGCGTAAAAAGTAGATCTTTAAAATTCATAGTTAGAATTAATTCAAATGCAAGAAACATTCCTCACAGTTTATTTACTCAAATTCTACTTTGAAATTTTTCTTGTGTGATACTTTTTCTGAGGAGACCGATGTTAAATATTGAGACTATCTTTATCATAATAATCTTTATACAAGACACAGAGTGATCCATCCTACTACTTTAGTTCATAGCCGCAGCTTGTTTCTTCAACTTTAACAATCAAAGGCTCATAATAATAGAACATTTGTGGCTACTAAAGTCCTTGTCAATTAATGTTTGGAGGTCAGCAGTTGTTTCTTTGTGGGGATAATTTTCTTATTAAAAGTAGTATATACTGACTGAAAAAAAAAAAGAAAATAATGTAAGCATACAAGAAAACAAAACCAAACCAAAACTCCTAAATATATTTACTCTTATTTCAGAGATAACTACAGTTAAAATTATGAAGTCAGATTCCCATTGGGAAGTAAAATTACATACACATATGTGTATAATTATTTTATGATGAGAGACTCATATATGTGTAGGTATATATACTTGTATGATTTAGTAACTTTCTAAATATATTGTTGTTGTTGTTTTAAGTGCCATAGAGTCAGTTTCTACTCATAGTGACCCTGTATATGGTTTTTGCAGAGTGGCTGGCGGGTTTGAACCACCAACCTTGAGGTTCAAAATGACCTTGTGATCAAGTGCTTATCTTACAGCGCCACACCAGGGATCCTTCTAAATATGTTAACTGAATTTAATTAACTGATTATATTATGAACATTATTATATGAAAATCAATTCCATACAAGTAACTCTTTAACTATAACATGCCTTTGAATGACTAAGTAATATCCCATTCTCACTGGACATTAGAGTTGTTTCTCATTTTTTCATTAGTGTAAGTGACATTATATTGAATACGCTTATAGTTAAATCTTTATATATCTCTCTAATTATCTCTTTAGGATGAATTATCGGAAGTAGAATTATTAGTTCAAACACCACATATTTTTAAGGCATTTAATGCACATCACCAATTTGCTTTCTGTTAAAGTTCTAATAATTTGTTTCACCAATATTGTATGAATGTGCTTCTTTTCCCTAAATCAGTTTTTACTGACTTGAGCATTATTTGTTTGTGAATGGTAAGCAGTGTTTCATCTGCAAATGGTAAAGCAAGCACAGACTTTTTAAATGTTTCCACATCCAGTACACTTCTTGAAATGACTGGATGACTGCTTTCCCCAAATTCTAGAAACATTATAGATAACTCTTCCCCAGCATAAGGAAAATGACAGTAATAAAATTTGGTTATTTGCTCTTAGGATAAGAAGATGAGTTTTATAAAAGAAATTCTTCCTAAACTTAAACAGAAATGAATATTTGTACTATGAACTATTTAAAAATCAACACTGATGCGCTGTTATATGCTGTCAAGTCAGTTCTGCCTCATAGAAAACCTGTATACGGTTTCCCAGGCTGTAAATCTTTGCAGAAAAAAGACTCAGCCATCTCCAGTGAAGCTGCTGGTAGAATTCAACTGCTTCATAATCTCAATAGCGATTTCTTAAGAAGTCCTAAGATGCTCTCTTGCATATAAAATGATAAGCATGGTATGTTGTTGTTGTTAAGTGCCACTGATTGTTTTTTTACTCATAGCTAGCCTGTACCGGGGTTCCAAGGAGCAATTGGTGGATTTCACCTACACATTGTTTGGCTAACAGTCCAGTACTTATCCTACAATGCCCTACTAGGTCTCCAAACACAACATAAATGGGAACTTTTGCTACCATAGAGAGTAGGTACCTCCACAAACCTATTGTGTAACAGAATGATCATTCTAATCAAGCTGTTCATGAGAACACTTGGTAACTGCCTTGGAAGCCATTTTCTTCTTTAAAAAAAAAAAATGTTTAGATACATGTATATTTCCTTGTTGACTGATTTCAATTTTGAAAACATATCAATACCAGGGTCACTCAGGGACAAAGCTATTTTAATTGATGGGTTTAAAAGCCATTTGTTATTATACAACTCAGAGATGAAATTTTATTATATTTTTTTTTAATTTAAATTATTCGTAGTTTTACTTCTTTCTGTGAGAAGTTCATCTTGCCAGGTACTTCTTGAACTAAAGTCTTCATTCTTCCATCCTCCCCTCTTTCCCTTCTTTGTTCTCTTTTTCCTAGCTTCTAATCATTTAAGAAAGATGTTTTTGAAAACTAAAAGCCTGCCATATGCTAGAACATTAAACCAGTTGCCTTGAGCTGATTCTGATTCATGGCAGACTCAGCAGGCTGGAGTGGAGCTGTTCTCCACTGGGTTTTCAAAGGCAGAATTTTGGGAGTAGAGATATCTCTGGGTAGAACCAAACCTCCTTGGTTTGTAGTAAGCAGTCAAATATGGTAGAGTTCTTTGGTAATGCCAAGGTTAACGTGTTTCACTGCTTACCTACAAGTACAGCCCCTACCTTTAAAACTAGACTGTACACACCATAAAAACAAGAGTGTAAGCTCCTTCAAAGTAGGGTACACACTTACATCTTTTTATCCTGTGGTGTTTACCACGACACTTTGTGGACAGTAGATGTCCAGTCCATACTTTCTGATGACTGTTAACAATTCACAATTGAAAACGTATTGTTTTGGAAACAAAAGATCATCAAGGATACCTTATTTTGTTTTTTGTTTAATGCTTAAGCCAAATCACATGAAATTGCCAACAATAAATTGTTTCAAACCTATGCAAATGGCATTTTCATACAATTCAATCTATAACAGGAGGACAAATCATAAATGCAAGTGCCTTCAGGGCTTAGGAAAAGAAAGGGACAAGATTTTCGAGATGGATGTACATACTCAGA